TTAATCTGATGAGAGAATGACTCCTCGGTCTCATGAAGGGACAAAATCTGTGTAACCGTTTGGAGATGGACGACGAAGCCACATGAATCTTAATTGTGATTTTGCTCATTTAAGCCCTTGCTTCTCCGTCTGTAAAACTGCATAGTAGCGGGCTCCACGCATGTTGGAGTGTTTTCAGTTCTAGTTCAGCAAAGATGAAAAACAGATCGAAAAATTGAGAAAAAAAGAATAAATGTTGGCGCAGAACCAAAGACAATGCAGCATATTTTTCTGACAATAAATCAATACAGACAGCAGCAGAATCATCAATCCTCCTGGCTCTCTTTGCAAGTGAATGAAGTACTGAGATACAATTCAAAACACCAGACTCGGTTCAGTTACGGAGGAGCCAAACGAATCCCAAAATCAGAAAAAGAAGTGTTGCTCAGTAGATGTCACCTTGTTACTTCTAAGAGTGTGTAGACGTCTGAGCTGTTACTCTAGTAATTTATATCTGTATCGACCAGCTTTAACTATAATCACCGCAGTCCATTATTTCTAATTATTGCAAAACACTCACTATCAATGCTTTGACATGCAGAACAGATATCATTAACGTGTTGCCCATATTGTGTGTGGGTGAGCTGGGTGTGAAATTCAAAACCACATTGATTTGCCTCTGGGCCCCATAGAAATATTGTTGCACGTTTGCTTGTTTATTAATATTACTGTGGCCTCTGTTTATTTTGTGCATGCAGTGCACAGATACAACAATATAGCCGCATCGCAAACTAAACTTGTCATGTATGTGACCTATTCTACCATCTGATTTCTGTAAAACTGGAAGTAAAGCTGTGAATGTTCCTATTATTATCCAGTCTGCCAGTAATCCTGGCAGCTCCTCAGCAGATGGTGGGGTGATGGTGTCTCAGGTCTGGCCATGTTGCTGCTTCCTCAGCCCTCTGTCCTCTCTGCAGACCCCTGCCACGCCACCCCATGACTAATTATTTCCTGTTCGTCACAGAAACACAGTCATCAGAGGGACGTGGTGTTTTCTGCTGTCGCCGCTATCAGGCCAATTTAAGACTATTCCCACTAGTGGGACACTGTTGGTTTGACTGGGAGCTTGTTTTTAAGCTCTTTAATTGGGGACATTGGGAGGCGATAGGAGGCAGAGAGTTGATTTTTGGTTTGCAAAACAGTCCCATAATGAATCTTTAGGTCCATTTTCAAGCCTTCTGGGAGTCTTATGTGGGGATGTTGGCCTCAGTGACACACGGCGACCTTCAGATTCAATATGGCTTGAAGAGAGAGGTGAATGTAGCTACATGCTCTTCATTCAAACATGGAGACATGACTTGGAATGCTTTTAGTTGCCCTTTATTCTCATTAGCTGTTTTGACCCGTTTGTGCTGGCTCTACTTTATGTTACTGTGTACTCCTTTGTCTGTCAGTTATTTCTGACCGACCTTATATTCCCTCATTGATGAGCTGAACTAGCTCACACTAAGTGTAGAGTCCCCTAACACGAGACTGGAATGTGCTCAGCTTTATGACAGTTGGCCTTGTGACCCTATTACCCAGTGAAATGAATCAATTTGTCTTTTTCAGGATACTTTGTTTTGAGAAAATATGCCACAAGCTCCAAGGTGAGCTCTTTGAAAATAGCACTGAATATTGGATATTGTGTAGAATAACATAGAACGTAAGGAACATTTACATTTATATGTAAATGGATTAGAAGAGGTCACTATAACTGTTGCGATCACATGTTTACATGCTTAATAGAGTATATAGAGTATTCATATATAGTATGAATAATAGAGTAGCACAATTCAACGTATCTTACTAGGGAAAATTTCTCTCCAGCTGAGAAGAGTTTGAACAATGCACTTTATAGGTTTAGATTTAATAGCTTCTGTTAACTGCTTAGTGCTGCAGACTCTTCAGATAATGAAATACCTGTTGTATGTTGAGGATTTTGTCTCCTTCACTCAGAGTGAGAGCTCTTTGGTGAAAAATCTGATGATTGATTACTGTCCAGAGGCGAGTGGTCTCCTAAGTGTAGCAAATGAAAGGCAGAGCATTCATGATGTCCATCAATACTTCTATTAGCAACACGCTCAGTAATTTGTGCTATTTGTTTAGGTCGCGACTGTACTACACAACTTAATGAGCCATTGTGATTTGCCTTTGGACCGTAATGGGAGCTGCTCGGTCTAAATTGTGTCAGCTGTCTGATTGCTGCCGAGCACATGCAATTTCAATTTGACCACTGGTGATAAAAGCTGACCTAAACACTGAAATTACTAACAGTAAAGTAACGATCTATTTTCATCTTTCCCCCCATTTAATTTCCCCACAGTCTGATAACCATTAGAGCGTCGTCTTCTTCTTCTTCTTCTTCTTCTCTTAAAACTGTCAAACAGTAATTAATGGATACTAATGGCACCATTTCCATCACGTTCCTTCTGTTTGAATCTCTAGTGTGTAATTACGTGTGCAAGCATCATTAGCCATTAGACCATAACATCGTTCTCTATGTTGAGTTGAGCATACTTTATTTAATGTTAATGAATAAATATTCTCCCAGGGCTCTGATTTAATTGGATTAGCACACATATGATTTCCTGCCTTATCAAGTTCTGCTGAATTAAATGACTCATCTAGGCTCAGATAGAGTGGAAAGATGAGAAATAGTGTTCACTGAGGTCAGCAGCAGGATCATTGGTCTGAACTGCTGGTTTCAGTCGTAAGAATTAAGAGTTTTTAAGTCTAAATGACAAAGTCCTTGTGAGTAAAGTCACACAGGGTTTGCATCTTTGGTTTCAGCTTGTGTGTCCTTTGCCTTCTATTATTGTTCTGTTTTCCCTAATGCATCTTGACACAGTAGTCTGGAGTAATGGCTCTGAAATGCTACACTGAATCGATGCCTTTCCTCTCTTAGGTAATTTACTTGGTAATGAGAGACGGTGCGGAAGACTGTCTCTGTGCTCGCTGAGAAGATGTAATCTGTTTCCCTATTATTCAGTTGGGTTAAAAAGACTTGGGCTGCTAATTAATTAACTATGAAACACTGAAATAGGATTTCACTGAAGGGCTTAATTTGGGTAATCACTGCCCCTCACCTTCTGGTCACACAACGGTGCTTAAATGTCTATTACTGAACTTTGTCACTATCTTTGACAAAACCAAATCATTCAATGTCTGGTATAAAACCTATATAACTCTATCTGTGTGTGTGCAAGGCCATAAGGTGTGTGTACATGTGTGGATATGTGGGGGGGGTTATATTCCCTCTTGTCTCTACAAAACAGTCTGTATCAATCAGTCTTGATCTAAATGACCTGGCATGTCAACAGCAAACCCACAGGAGAGTGGTTTTCAGTGCGAGAGATAAGGTCAAAAAAGCCATTTTGGGTATCATAAAGGAAGTATTGTCTAGATATTGATGTCATTTATTACCTGACAAGGATGGTTATAGACGGGTTGGTGAAAAAAGGGGGAAAAGTGCTGCCCTAATGCTCCGAGAAGACTGAAATGGAGGATAGCCATGATGGAAAAATCAATTAACCTTGGCCTGGAAGTGAACTAGTTGATCTTTCAGCACGATTTTATTTGTTGACAAATATGCCATCTGCTGTTCTGTGGATAAGGGGCATGACATTGTGTGTGTGCGTTAAAATGTGTGTGCATGTGTGTTCTTGCATTGGCCCTGGGAGAAGAGTATTTGTTCTTGCGTGTGCATACAAATGACCATAAAATGTGCATATAAGAGAAGAAAATTTGCTTGTGAAAATCAAACATCAATAGTTACCAGAAACGTACATTAGGGATTGAAAGTAGGTGCTTCATTTTAAGGTGTCGCAAGCCAAAAAGGTTGGGAACAATTGCATAAGCCACTGCTAACTATTGAGCTAAATGATGTTTTCAGCCTTCAGTGCTGACAGAATTTATAAAATGATTTGATCTTATAATGGAAACAACACTGTTCTCAAATACTAAGACACTCATCAACTAATGTTAACATCAGAGCTGCAAAGTCAGAGCTGCACCTGTGACACTCCTCGGGATTGAGAAGTGTTCCTGAGACATGCAGCAGAATCCATAAACATCCTTTCCTCTCCTCTCGTCTTCTCTCGCAACCCCTTCCTCAGCTTGAACACTCAGTCTAATTGACTAAGAAGATAGCAGGAAGCCAAAACCACACAGGCAAGAAAAAAAATATTCAGAGGGCTTACCTAAGCGTATTGCTGGCATCTTCCTCCTCTCAATATAACCCATATGCCCTTGGTTGTGTAATCAGACCAACAGCAATAAACAGCATAGTAAATACTGTACTTTATGTAAACACACATTATACACTGTACAGTATCCAGTGGCTTTACACAATGCAAAATGTTTTATTTCATATACAAAAATATTAAATAGGCCTATACAGTATAAAAAATATACAAATACGCTATAAAATTATCTTATGTCAGTGTACTATTTACATTTCTTGAATGAATGACTACAATAATAGCATTGGACATTTATATCTGCGGTTTCAGCAAAAGACATGTTTGGTTTTACATTAGTGTAATTTTTTTGTTATTTTCCCTCAATTTCTTTTACAACTTCATTATAAATGCAAACCACTGTTTTTTTAATTATCCCATAGCCACTTCTTTATGGTTCTGTCCGTCCATTACTATGATTTTACATACACTCATCTTCCAGAGAAAACTTACAGTCTCGTATCAGCATCAGCACAAATCATTATTGAGTATTTTCTGCACATTTCTTGTGTGTACTCCACTCAATCCCCTCTTTTACTGAATTTTTCATTAAGGGCAGAAATGTTTAAAAACATGATTTAAGCCTCATTTAAAAACCTAATTTAGACTTGAGTTTGCTTTTACGCATCGATTCCCTTGTCTCTAGACGTAATTTCTTGAGATGAAACTGAAGACATCTTTAGCCTCAGTTAGGGCTCTATAGTGGACTAACTATCTGATATCCCTCTTCTGTCTCTGCAGGTTTTGGGATGACGACGCCTGTGACAATTGCAGGCAAGGTGTTCCTAATCTTTTATGGGCTTCTGGGCTGTGCTGCCACCATCCTCTTCTTTAACCTCTTCCTGGAGCGAATCATCACACTGCTGGCCGTAGTGATGAAGGCTGTGAGGGAGCGGCGAATCAGGAACAGCGGTCTACTCCCGCCAGGCATCCGCCATGACTTCTCAGCCTACTCCCTTCCAGGCTGGAAGCCCTCCGTGTACCATGTGATGCTGATTCTAGGCCTGTCAGCCATTACTATCTCCTGCTGTGCATCAGCTATGTACACCCCGGTGGAGGGTTGGGGTTACTTAGACTCACTCTACTTCTGCTTTGTCACCTTCAGCACCATTGGTTTTGGGGACTTTGTCAGTAGCCAAAGCGCGGCTTACAAATACCAAAGCCTCTACAGAGTGGCCAACTTCCTCTTCATGCTAATGGGTGTGTGCTGCATCTACTCGCTCTTTAATGTCATCTCTATTGTCATCAAGCAGGTGCTCAACTGGATGCTGGAGAAAATGAGCTGCTTGTTTTGCCAGCGCTGCAATAAAGCCAGCGCCCTCCTGGGCAGACGCAATGCCATCCGCCCGGGCTCTAAGGGTCGCCAGGGTCGGGTTGGCCAGCCGCCTGACTCAGATGGACCTTGTGATAGTGACACTGAGGGACGTAGACTATCAGGGGAAATGATCTCTATGAAAGACTTGGCAGCCTCTAACAAGGTGTCACTGGCCATCATGCAGAAGCAGTTGTCCGAGTCGGCCAACGGGTATCCCAGGACAGTCTGTGGCAGCTCACGCCATAATGGTTTCTCTGGAGGGGTTGGTGCCCTCGGGATCATGAACAACCGGCTTGCAGAGACGAGTAACTCCAGGTAGACACAGAGAGACAGGAAATAAAGTATGGGAGTTCCCTATTCGCACACTGTGTAACCTGAGGTTGATCGCCATAAAAAAAAAAAAAAAATACAAGGCTTTTGAAAAGGATTGCCAACGTAACTTGTTATGCATGATACATATGATTTTTTTGGATACTTTTGGTTGGAATTACAAGCCTGTGTCCATAATACCGATAATGATGGTGATGGTTTGAGTGATGATGGCATGAAGAGAGAACAAAAAAAGCAGAAGTTGATCTGGAAGCAAAGAAACCCCTGATCACCCATTTCATTAACCTCAAACCCAACCCAGAACAAATCACTGAAAGTCTCTTAAATGTAAGTTTTAGTCTGAAGAGGAATGAGTCTGTTATATACGATCGATATATCAGACTTATATGCCTGAAATGTTGTGCTGTAAAGGAGCCAAGGGAAGCATACAGTGCAATCTTCATAGTTTTGGGCTTTTGCCAGTTTATTTGAATGTACATATTGAATGCTGATATAAACAACTAGTGTAATCACTGAATGATATAGCACATCCTGATCTATGCATTATACTTCTCATGCATTTTTTTGCACCATTTCTAGACCTTCCATTGATTGTGCAAATCCTATTTTTTCTCAACATGGGTCAAGTTTTACCCTCAGGTGATTGATTTCATTTCTGGGGGCAAGTGGCTGCTGGGATGCAGCTGCTTTTGACAGGACTTTAGTGAGGGGCGCTTTTCCAGTGTGCCACACTAACGGGCTACAAAGAGTAATTTACCATAGTGCAAGATGGCGAAAAGAGCAGAGTTGAAGAATGAAAATCCATTTCTCGTGAGAGAGGAACTGGCCTTCTTATCGGCTCAGAAAATGCTTTGGCAGCCAAAGACTTTGACTTGAAGGGTAAAAGAAGGGACTTGCCATCTCTTTCTCTCTCTTCATTTTCAAGCTTACAGCTGCCTGCAAGGGAAACAAATGATAAAGGTTTGTGTTGTATTAATTACTCCTTTAATGCAGAACATAGAGTGATGTATTTGTAAAACAGAATATATGACAAGTCAGTTTATGTTTCTTTGAAGTGAAATATAACAGAGAAGAGGGAGGTGGCGAAGGAGGCAAAATATGGATGGTTTTATCCCGTAGGCACATTATGTTTCAGTAAATTATGCAGATTGGAAGTAGCCGGGTCAATGTCAGATGCTGGAGTGGAAAGCAAAACCCTGAAGGATTCTCTCACTTACACTAACTTATCTTTTGTGGGGATTTTAGGTTTTCATCAAGGGAGATTTCATGGCAGATACATTGCTCACTCTGTAAAACAAAGCATGATCCAAAAGCCTGCAGAGGTAGATTGTCCTTGTGTAAATGTATAGCCCAGGTTTAATGGATGGAGGGTGTTTGCAGAGGATATGGTGCTACCCTGTCAGGCTTCACGATCGATGCCCTCGTTGCCGGAAACTATCTCTTCCGAGGCATCGGTGATTTAAAGCCATGTGATGGTGTTTGATGTTTCGAAAAAACAAGACAGAGGAGCAGACGCTATTAGTTAAACTGTCCAGGAGGCAGTGATGAAGGAAGACAACTAGGGCGAGGGACTGGTGACAGCAATGGAGGTAGAGGAGGTGGCATTAATAGACTCCCTTCATACCCATGCCCGATTCAAATCAATGGCCTCTCTTGGCCAAGGGCTCAATGTTTCCTGGCGTCCATCTTTAACATCTAATATGCTCCCAGGCCACTCACCTCGTTTTCTCTGTCATCTCTGCATTCACTTCACACACTGCACCAAAACCGCCTGCTTCCTTTTTCTCACAGATCTCAGCTCTCTCCTCACGCTCATCACCCTTACACTGTGAATATGATGAGACATGCCATACTTGTATATATATATAAATATAGCATTGGAATGTCTTAAAAATCGCTTTTACAAAAAGGCGTGAATTGGATCTGGATCTTTCCTTAGTTGATTTTCATCCTGTTTGTGCATAGATCTGAATAATTTCCTTTACTCCCCAGTCTCACCAAGAGGAATATAGAAAATGACTCAGGTAGTTAAATCTTCAGGCTTGTCTTAGTATTTACTGCATGCCAATATGGTAAAGCCATACAAGATAGCTGTATATAAAACAGAGGACTTTTTCAAGTCTATTTTTCTACATATAGCTTTCAAATATCTACCTGTGAATGATTGAAGAAGTCTAACTGTCACGTCTCTCCCACAGTCAGTCAGCAGACTGACGAGATGCAGCATCCAGAACTTAACTACCTTCTAGAAACATGGATACTGGAGTTATAAGAAGAATACAAGCTTTCCTGATATTAAAGAGTAGTTTGACATTTTAAGAATACATGTTTGCTTTCTTGCTGAGAGTTAGAGTAAGAGTTAGAAGGTTGATATTACTCTCAAGTTTGTAAGGTAAATATGTAGCTGGAGCTGGTGAGTTTAACATGACGTAAAACCACAATGACTAATTTTTACTCTTTGGTGTTTGTACAGATTTAACAAATGACATATAAGGAGTTGATTAGTGAGCTTTAGATGTGCTGGTAGGTGGATTTTGTTACCCTTTGGACAGAGCCAGGTTTACGTCTTTCCAGGCAAAATTAGCTTCACTAAGTTTTCTTGACCATGGCCAGTAACATCCTGGAGTCTCTGCTTATTAGGCTACCTTGTAACTGGTGCTGGCCAAGAAAAAGCCTGGCACATAACCCTCTGTAAAACTATGAATTGTTACTTAGAAAGCTTTAGAACTGTCTTTATTGTATGTTAAGCTATGGTTCTGTTCTGAGGTAATGCTAAAAGCTACCTACACACACATCTAAAGCTCACTAATTAACACATTATATCTTGTTTGTTCCCCTGTTTCCAGTCACGCAAAGCAAGGGAAAAAAAGCTACTGCTTCATGTTTACTGTACAAAGATTAGAGTGGTATCAATCTTCTCATCTAACTCTGCAAGAAAGCGTTCCTTTAACAATTCCCAACAGAGACTCTTTGTGTTGGTGATGTGATGTGAAGCTTGCAGTGCTAGGGGGAGTTCATGTGTTGCCACGCCGTTAGCAGTGACATTGCAGACATAGAAACATGTCAAGCCCTGGGACATTTGAGCAGGAGTATGGGCATGCTGTAGCAAATTACATTCTGTTGTCAGTGGTGTTCCTCCTGCTATCATATGTCAGGAGTGGACCTTTTTTTCTGGCACTTCTCTAGAATAATGATTCCTGAATGATGCCGTATGTGAACCTTCATTGTCCCTCTGAGGCTTAAGGTTACAATGGCAGAGGTTTCAGGATTGCTGACTGATTTTTTAAAGCCTGTGTAGCTTTTGGAGTCTAGCTAGCTGCATTGTATCCTTAACTTCGACAAGGGGCATGTGTGTGTGTATTCACTTGTGTGTCCAACCAAGTGTGTAAAGGACTGAAATTGAGAATTAAAGGACTGTGATATGTTATCTTAAATGCGTACCTAAACACAAGTCCCCCAGGAAGGTATTCGACTTAATATAATATCCATTAAAATGTATTTTCCTTAAGCCTGAAACACATCAAGCTTTTAAGACACTGAATATAGTATTTAGAGTAATGTTTGCTCACCTAACATGCATGCGTGGCTTGAAATCAATTGCCTTACTTTAGTCCTTGCATATTACAAAAAGGTTCCTTATTGAAAAGATTATAGTGTGTAGAACTCGTGTGTTGTACCATACAATCTTTTTGCATTTTGCAAAATTGATCTCCATTGATTGCAATGGTTTTAACTTGCCCACTGTCCTCTGTATCTTCTGTAAGAGGAGACAGGTGGTCTTAGGATTTACTGTATGTTTGTATTTGTTATCAGCAGAAATGACTCTTAAATGTGATATCTCTGGCTTTTCTTTTTAGTGTAATTAATTCCTTTCATGTTCTCATCAAACATGAAATTAGATTGAAATGATGCAAAATTTTCAAGCCCACACTATTAATATGGGTGAACATAGCAGACTTGGATCACAGCGCTGCCTGATTTGCAGTGAAGTTTTCAGCGTTAAATTATTCTTAAATTGTTAAACACTGCCAGTCTTTATTCAAGTCAACACATATTGTCGTGTATTCTGACTGGGAAATGCTCTGACTGCTCTGTAGTCAACAGTATTTTGACTGTAAAATAGCACCATTAAAATGTCATGCTCCATAGCCATTACAAGCCCCATAATAAAACAATTTGTTTGAAATAAGCAGAGACTGGAGATGTTGTTAGTGTTGATCTTGAAGGCTGTTGATGGTGCTAATGGCATTATTATTTATTCAGCAATGCTATTATTTCTTTGTGATCGCAGTATGATACATAACACTGTGCTCACTCCAGTTTCCTCGGAGGAAGAGTGCGTGAACTTTTTGTATTTTGAGACTGTTAAAGCTGCTTCTTTCAGAAACAAATTGTATTTACATTAATTTGGCTGGAGCACATTGGAAATGGCTGTTACCAGCAGGCAGGTAAACAGCTGAGTGGCCCTGTAACAGAATGATGTATTACTGCTCTGCTTGGCTGCTTCTGATCTTTAACAAGAGTCACATTGTTGGCTTTGATCTGGAGCTTGATTTCCAAATCCACCCAGCATGTGTGCCTGTTGTTTCTTTCGGATGAAGACTTATGATATGGAGCCACAAACTGCATTCAGATCTCAATTTCAAAGTTACTTGAGGTGTCTGTGATCCACAGTTATGTTGACCTTTGGCTCTATCGACATCAACATAATTCTACACCTTGGTGTGTGTCTCATGTTGCTTGCATTGTGGTGTAACATCCAGTTAATGTATGCAAATTCATTCTGTTTGCAAGTTGCACATTTATACCAATGATTGTACTTTTATATTTATGTAATTAAAAGTAAAACCTATATGAAACAAGAAGGAGTTCCATTAAACAATGATATTTATTGATGTTCCTTTGATTGTCTTAATTGTTATTCAAATATAATAACTCAAAATGTAAATGTTTATGGACAATATAACATTGTATCTATTATATTTGGGGTTGATTACATTGAATCACAGACCTTGTCTTAAGTGAAGAATCCCTGATTGCTTGATTTCTTATAGGTGTTGAGTCGGATATATCCAAGCTGTCAGAAAAGTCTGAGGTTCCCAGTCATGATAATGAATTGAATGTTGACTTGAACACTATTTAAAAGTTGTGAACTTAATAACTACAATATGACAAGATTGCAGCATAACGTTCACTAAGGATTAGGAACTTCCTGGAGTTTTGTCCCATGGATGTCGCTAAACAACATGCAGAGACTCCAGAAAGTTACAGCATTTGGTTAAGAAATAGTCTGGTACACAATAACATAAAAACACAAGATATCATATTTACACTTTGCCTTTTGTGCAGATTAAGCAAAGGAGATACACTGTGTTCATTAGTGAGCTTTAGAAGTGCTGATAGGTGGATTTTGTTACCTTCAGGCTGAGCCAGGCTAGCAGTTTCCCCTTAATTCCCATAGTAATGCTAAGCTATTTAGCTTCATATTTAGCAACTAGACATAAGAGTGGTATCAATCTATTCATCTAACTCTTGGCAAAAAAGCAAACAAGTGTATTTCCCAAAATGATTACTGAACAATTACTTTTAATAGCTGATAATTTATCTATAAATCTTTGGTGAATTACTTATAAATAAATCCATTAGTTACAATGTATAAGCCCTTTATACAAGTATTATTAGAAAGTGGTACCAAAATTGGCTAAAAACAAAACAAAACGTGGTGAATAGTTTCAATCAGACTGTGTGAAAGTTCACAACTTACAATCAAGCAATGCTGCAAAACTGTCACTTACAGAAAGGCTCTGTGCCTTACCATCTTAAAACTTGCAAGTTTATTTAAACAGCAAATGTCATCTTGGATTTTTAAGGACCTGCTGTGTCTTAGCATCATATTTCTGAGCGAAGAGAGACATTAAAACCTCTACAATTCATAACCACAACAGTGGTTGTCAGTATATTACACTGATCAATCAGCTTTATCAATTGCTGTATTTCTTTCAGATATTATTCAACCAGAACACACGCAGCTTGCTGGAAGGACCTTGAAACAGCGTGGCTCTCCAGTAATGGGTCAATCAGGATGTTAGTCATAAAGGGGGACCTGTAATTGCATTCATTATTGAAATGAGTCTGATCCCAGCAAATTATGCTGAAAAACAACATACATTATCTCGCTTCACAGGGGTTAAGAAGAGTCTGTGTAGAGGAAATGTGCCTCAAAGTCTGTGCACATCAGGGATTTTCTGTTTAGCAAGAAGCCAGGTTTCTACTATTAGTAGGGACATTAAACAGTCCAATATTGTTGTTGGAGGAATTAACACCCACCTAGGCTGAAATGACTGCAGTTTCTCCTCTCCATATGCCGAACTATATTTGATCAGCAGAGCTTTTGTTTTGCTGGACTATCAGCATGTTGCCAGACTTGTTTAAAATAACTACTACAAGAAACTAAACAGGAATAAGTCCACTGCAACGCATCTAATTTAGCTTTGATACCCGCAACAGTTCCCTGATTTAGTCAGTTATGGGAGAAATAAACTTGTATATTTTCTTTGTTTTTCCCTTGCCAGGCATACAAACAAACCTCTCCGTCACATCAGTACAGTGTGAACAGTCTGAGCATCCCTCAGGGAGACAGGACTGCAGTTAAATCTCCAGCAGCAGGCTGAAGTGTTTCCTCTGGGTCTCAGCTGCTGTCAGAGACATGTGCCTCAATTCCTTCACTGCGGCAGAGACCTCTGATTCCATACTATTTGTGAAGGACTGTTCCCGCTGTTTCTCTGCATCTCTTCACTGCTTCCTCGCTCTCTTTTTTTTTTCCAGTTGGTTAGTTAAGAAAATATAAACACTCATATTACAACTGCAATCAGATACGTTTATTTCTGGAAACTAGATAGGTAGATATATAAAAATTACACCACCACTTCCCAACACACACACTGAATGTCATTCATCTTCATTTCAAGATTGTCACAAGTGATTTGGTTGGCAAGTTGTTGAGAATCAAGTGTTCTTAAAACCTTGTCAAATTGAATACAATGTCCGATCCATCTTGAGAGAAGAAAGCAGTGACATGTATTAATATAGTCAAGGAGGCAGTAAGGTCTGTGAAAATGCACCATTTAAGATTATAGAGCCTTGAACATTAAATTATGTCATCTGAAGCTGTTTTCACTTACACCATGAAGAACAAATGGTCATCAGAGGACATTTATTGATTTTTATGAAGGAAGAAAAAGGATCTGACTGCTCAAAAGCTGATGAAACTGTAATTGGAATTCATGACACAAAAAATGTAATTTAGTGTGATACATTTTGTACCTACCTTAAAGGCTGGTGATATTCAATAGTTTTCTTATTGTTATCAAACCTATTGAGATTTCCTTTGTGCCATAGGGGTCCATTGTTGTTGTTCCTTACACCACATCAGCAGCTAAAAATAGTCCCAAACAAAAATGGCCCACTATTTCCTCCTTTGAGTAAACTTTTCTAAAACCTACAGTGCCCAACTGTTTTTAAAATATATAAGTGATATAACTATATCAAATTTAAAAAATGTTATAGAACAAATGGGTGTGGAGCTGGTAGCTACAGACAGGCTTGGAAAGTCAGAAGAACAGCGAGAGACAATAACACATTGGTCTTTTCATGGGATTTGTTGACAATAACAAAATTTCATATCCGCATTGTCCTTTAATCGGAAAAAGGGCTGCAATTAAGTTAGAGCTCGCAAAGTGGTACATCTAGATTCAGATCCTAGGAGATAAAAAGCTGTGGCTGCATTAAATGTTCTGTGACTGACTCTCAAAGGAAGGCTAAACGAAGGACTCTTGAAACATTTATGGGCACAGAGCACTGACCTACGACTCCTCAAATGGTTGTCTGTGTAAATGTAGACGTTTAAATAATCCCTATAATAACCGAGTTTATTGCTTCAGTTGCCTTCAATATCCTCATGTTGTTTACTCTTATGTCTTCACCTGAGGCAATAATATGTTTAGTCACATTAAGAATCACTTTAAATCCAGCATCATCTTCTTAACTACATGCCTTTCATGTCAAGTGGCCGCCATTTCATCAGTCTATTCAGAGCGCACACGGGGAAAAGCCTGCAGTGCTCTAATAGTATCTGAAGAGACCATGAGTGTATCTGAATTAAAGGTAGAGTGAGAAAATCAAAAGTCATTGTGGAAACGCAGCATTTACATGAAGAGGGGCTGAGCGGTCTGAGTGATGAGGCAATTTCTTTATAACATCTGCTCTTTCAATTACCATGGGAGGATAGAAAGAGGGAGAGAGGGGTTAATAGATAAGGGAAACTCACCATTCAGCTAATGAAGTTTAATACGATCTCTTCCTCAGATTAGAATATAGTCGTGTTTACTTTTGCAGAAATTCTTCAGTGTCAGCTTGCTCAAATGGAATAAACCACACAGTTCACAGCAGATAAAGTTAGATGAATACCAATCAAGCGTTGAGAAGAGGTGAGGAGAAAACCTTTCAGCTTTAAACACCTCAGTGACAGTGATATTAAGCAAATTTCAAATGGGTTTTCATTATCTTGAGTGGGAGAAATAGGTCCAGATTCTACAGAAAATCCCCCTCCTTCTGTGCTCCAGTGGGATGTTTTGCCTACACACCAAGTGTCATCCAGGTGCTCTAAAATAACCAGACATTGGTACACATAGTTATTGAAATCCCTGGGAAAACAGAAATTACCCTAAATGGTCAAAGTGGAATCAGATCAGGAGAGTAAATGTCAGACGCAGACTAAAATAAAGAAAGCGCTGGATGAAAGAACTTTAAAAGCTTGTGTGTGGTTCACTATATCCTTTTACCAAATACCTCCAACATTTATCTTTATTCACAGGTAAGACAGCACTGACAGTTAAACCAACACCTCATCTCTGAGTGTCTGTGTTGAAAAGTCCTGACAGCGTAATAATATATTTATGCAATTTCCCACAGAGATTTCCATTTTGCTTTTTTTCTTATTTCATATCACTTTTTCAGCAGACTACCTTAGACATGTCAGCACCCTCCACAGCAGGTGTAGATCATTTTAGAAAACGTAAAGGAAAACTAAACTTTAGTTTACTTCAGTCGCTTGCTTTGACAAAAAGACATTCCTGCTGGTTTATCTGAAAGACAGCTGGAGGCACACAGTGACCAATATTTGCTTGTAGAAAACCCACACATCGCTCAGCTCTGCGTTGCGCGTATCCAGTGAGTTGGCCTGAGGTGTCCAATCAGGTTTTATTATCCTAAAGTATGATTAGCTATCTGCCTGGTCAGAGGGCGACCTTAGTTTGAACCAACTGTTTGATGAGTAAAGTGGACACTCATTTCTAAAAAAACGTTTTTTCTGAACGTGCATTTTGTATGTTGCCTATTTTCGAAGGTACAGTTCTTTTTTAAGGACTCGGAATAAAACATATGGAAGCTTTATATTAAATTTGTGTGTGTGTTAGTGCTCCATACATTACTGGTAGTGGGTAACTGGTGAGCAGATATTTCCCTCAGGAACAGACAAGAGCTAAAAGAGAGTGACTATTTGCCAGACTATCAACAATTTCAAGCTCTGTGTACGGAGGAGAAGAAATGAGGTGGGTGGCATTATGAGTCTTTTTGAACCACCAGACACTGTCCAGTCCAATATAAAATTAAGCTGAAGAAACATTCATTAAGATGCGTCTAGAATGAATGTGTAAATGACATTTATTTACACTATACAACTGTAAAAATTCCTTTATGATTGGGGAGGATGATTAATAAAGTTCCTCTTATGTACTGTGGGGTTTTTAATGATTTGAGAGGCCAATTCCCATTGCTTTGGGATGGACAGTTAAGTATTTCTAAATCTCTTGAGTAAAGAAACAAAACAAAT